TAGCCGGGCGTGGTAGCGTGCACCTGTACTTCCAGCTCCTTGGAAGGCTGAGGCGGAAGGATCGCCGGAGCCCAGCAGGTGGAGGCTGCGGTGGCCGGGAGCAGCCACTGCACTCCAGTCTGAGTGAGACTCCAACTCAAAAAAAAAAAAAATAAAAGAAGGGGATATGCTATGTGGTTATTGTGGGGAAAGCATTTAAAGAAGAGGAAACAATACAAAAGCCCTAAGGCAGGAGCCAGCCAGACATGTTCAAGGAACAACAAAGAGGCCAATGTGACTGAACAGAGAGAGCGAGCGTGGAGGTTGTAGGGAGGTGAAGAAAGAAAATGGAGTCACCAGATTATGGTCAGCTACAGCAACAAATAATATGGTTGGACTTGGTGTTTGTCCAGCTGATGGATATAAACTGGTGTGTTGTTGAAATTTTAATTTACATTTCCCCAATTATAGTGGGGCCAAGACTCAGTTTAAGGATCAGAAGATTTGAAACTATTACTGAGAGTCTGAACTGACTGTATAGAACAAGTTGGAAGCCTGGAAGCCCAGGAAGTTCCCTAGGAGGTCATTACCAGCATTTACCAATCCTGGAAAAGAGGGGTTTTGAGACTAGAGGTACTAGATTTAGCAAATAGGCATACAGGATGCTCAATTGAATTTGATTTTCAGATAAATATCAAAGGAAAAGATTTTGTATAACCAGGACTTGTGCAATTTATGCTCAAAAATATTACATTGAGAGAAAGAAGCTGAACACAGCATAATACATGCTATATTATTCCATTTATATAAAATTCTAGTACAGATAGACTAATGTAAATGACAAAAGTCAGAACAGCAGTTGTTTGAGGAGGGCAGGAACCAACTATAAAGGGAAATGAAAGCAAATTTCTGGGTGATAGAATGTTCTAGAGCAACAGTATTGTCTTGGATGGTGGTTGCACAGGTGTAGCAATTTTCAAAGCTCATTGAACTGAATATTTAAGATCTGTGTCTTTTTTTTTTTTTTTTTAGTTGGAGTCTCACTCTTCTTACCCAGGCATGCTCACAGCCACCACAGCCTCAACCTGCTGGGCTCAGGCGATCCTTCTGTCTCACCCTTCCAAGTAGCTAGAACTACAGACGCACACCACCACACCGCAGCATTTTTTGAATGTAAATTATGCCACACATGCAAGACAAAAAATTGGGGTCACATGGCTAACTGGACCAATCAGAGGCAAAGAAGTAGGTCTATGCTGATTTGCTTATGCCTGAGCCACAAAACTCCTCAGTAAGGTAGGCACACGAGTTAGCTTCCACCAAAGGAAATGAAGTTACCAAAAAGAGGGACGTGGGGATGGTGGGCAAGTATACTTAGCTGCTATAATAAGAGACTTAGCCTGGGCAACATAGCAAGACCCTCTCTCTACAAAAAGAAATCAAAAGAGTAGCTGGACGCAATGGCATATGCCTGTAGTCCCACCTATGTGGGAGGCTGAGGCAGAAGGATTACCTAAGGTCAAGGCTACAGTGAGCTGTGATCGTGCCACTGCACTCCAGCCTGAATGACAAAGTGAAACAGACTCAAAAAAAAAAAAAAGACCTAAAATAACAGTGGCTTAAGCATGACAGACTCTTCTTTTCTTTCAAATAAAAGTTTGGCACTAGGGATGGAAAGGTGAGCTCTGCTCCAAAAAAGACCTCAAGGTCCCAGTTGCCATTCTCGCCACTAGTCTCTCATGTCATGTCCAAGAAGGCTGCTCCCCCAGTAGGGAAGAGGAGTCACTCTCTTTAAGGGCATAACCAAGAAATTGCATATAGCATCTCTCTCATATCCTTCTGGCCAGAATTCAACTCCTAACTGCAAGGAAGCTTGGGAAATGTTGTTTTTATTCTGGGTGGCAATGTGCCCAGCTAAAATTCTATCACTCTAGAAGATAAGGAGAATGGATAATGAGAAATACATCCAATCTCTGCCACTGGAAGCCATCATAATACCTTCTAGAAACTGGTCGTGTAATACAGTATCTAAGAGGGTTTAAGAGACGGTGTAAGGGTTTGCAGTAAAATTGTGTTCAAATCCTGACTCTTCCTCCTACTGTGTGACCACAGGCAAGCTTGAAAGACAGTGGCGCACAGTGAGACTCAACACCCGTTAAGGCCAAGAGATTTAATGAGTCGAACGCGGTGACTACAGGACCTGAGGGTCAGGCTGTAGCGCTGAAGCAAAGGCACTCCAGCCTTTATGGGGGCTTAGGGAGACCTGTCAGTCGATTATTGGCTGGCTGGCAGAGCTCCATCCAGGTTGGTGGGTTTTTTGCTGGCGCGGGAAAGGGTGCAGAGGGAAAACAAAGGAAGGCACCGTTTCAATCGCCATTTTAGTTTGCGGGGTCGCCATTTCCAGGAAAGGGAGGGAATGTGGCTTTACTTGTGGCTTGGCGGTGGCCCTTCAAAGCTACTTCACATCTTTGTGCTTGATCGAGATCTCTCACCTCTCTGGTCTCATAACGGTGGCACAAAACCGTTCCATCAAGCAGAAAGTGGAGGTAACAAACCCATAGGGAGGTTGTGAGAATTAAGTGAGTTCATGCATGCAAAGTGCTTGGAACAGTGTCTGGCACAGAATGAGCGCTCAAAAGTGCTAGTAATACTATTTTTATTATTTCACAGGCAGAAGTTAAGATATGCCTGGTAGAAACTGAGAATCAAAAGAGGGAGGGAGGGAGAGAGGGAAGGAGGGAGGGAGAGGTGAGCACAAGCCTGCCTTCCCGTTTTACTTATTTGGTCAGCCATGGTGACCTTCTCTGTTCCAAGGCCAGTGCTGATGACCGAGACAGAGCTTAGGCCAGCTCGTGTCTATCAGGAACCCTTCGGTTACGAGCGAAATCCAGCTCAAACTAGGGTGGGCTGAAAAGGAAATTTTAATGGCTCATGTAATAAAATTTTGTGCATGATCGGGCGCAGCTGGCCTCAAGAGTGCTGGAACCAAAGAACGGAATGCCAACAAGACTCCCTCTCGCTCCGTCTCTTCTTCGCCTCTCCGCTACATCAGTTATATTCTTTCTCTAGACACGGTCTTCCCGGAGATAGGGGGCAGGGGCTGAACACAGCCACAGGCAGGACCCACCACCGGAAGGACCTGTTCCCTCCCAACCTCGAGGGAAAAGTGTCTAAGGCCCAGGCCCCAGACCAATAACCCAGGGAAGGACTCTCATTGGCTAGCCTACATTCTGCTCCAGGTGCGGCATGCTGATGGGTCCAGCACTGACTCCCTTGCCCAACCCTAACCAGTCACCGTGGTGGAGAGCAGACGCAGAAGCGAATGTCAGCGGCCACCCTCCACGCGAGGGGGTGGGCATTATCTGAGCTCCAAATCGTCTCAGTGAACCTTCGCATCCATTCTTTTTCCTCCTATGGCTAGAACCCCAGGGCAAGGAGTGAGCGAGTCGGGTGGTCTCGGAAACGACAAGAGACTGGATGGGGAGCAGGGCCTCCCCAGCCTAGCCTAGCACAGGTCCCTCCATACAGCAGGCGTCCAATGCATGCTTTTTGAATGAATGACTGATGTCATACCCGGTTCCCCGAGCCTGACAATTTCACAGACCCCGAGCGGATCGAGAATGAAGCGGGGATGGGGGACCGCCAGAGCGCGTCCTAGGCCGTGGGGACAGACCCCGGCAGGGCGGAACCTTCGGGTGCCAGGCTGAACCTTGAAGACCCCGCCACCTCCCCGGGCCCAGTTGGGGGCGGGGCTTCCAAACCCCAAGCATTCTGGAGTGAACCATCTTCCATCCGCTAGAGGGGAGGGTCGAGAAAGTGCTTCTGCATCTTTCGCCGGCCCTTTTACCACTCCCCGGCCACAAAGACGACGCATCTGCTTCTCTGACAGCCGCTCGGTTTCTCCCCCCCGCACCCTCGCCGCCTCACCACGCCTCAAAGCTCCACGCAGCCACACGGTGCAGACTTGCCCACCTCCACTTCGCAGTGGCTCGCCCCAGTTTGACGCATTGCAGGGAAGGCCGGGCCAATCGGCGCCGCGCTCTCATTTCCGCCACGGGCTGGGCCCAATCGCGACGCGGCTCACAGGGGGACGCGTCACGCGCCGCTGAGCG